ATCATCATCAGCTTTCCCTATCGTCGTCCTCATTTGTTTGCCCTCCCTACTCATGTTCACTTTTGTCCTCGGTGAGTAGCCAACCAAATCGTTTTGCTAAGACCTCACAAGCCAGTAATACTGGGCACGACATCGAAGGAGAGAGTTACGTTATCTTAATGCGATACCTATTAATGACATCTAATTTCAAAAACGGCTAACTTCATCCTCACTATACTACTCCCGTAACTCAAACCCAGGCATTTTACAGCACCTCAAATGCTGCCTCAAGTTAGAAGCAAGTGACTGTTCTCTAAGAACATCTCACAGAGACGACTTTTCTCACAAATCACCATGAATAGATATTGATTATATTACCCTTAGGAGATATGATATCTTCAAACAACTGCAGCTTTGCATAGTTTGAGGTACAGAGGGAACTGGCAGTTGCAGCTGTGATACTAAAGTGTCTCCAGGCTTTACTCCTTCCTTAGAGATGGATGCAACTTTATCTTCCCAGTGTGTAGCCGTTCCTACAAATATATCAAAATAATTAACAGTCATTGGAGGAGGTTGAGCAAAATATCGTGAATTGTCGGTGGCAAGCAGGTCATTATCATTGACCATCGAGTTTGTTTTTTGAATATCTTTGGGAAACGATCGAGGCGATCTGCCATTTTCAAGCAAGAGCGATTGCAAGAAGGAGAAAAGTGTGGTTTCATTTACTCATGAGCAGAATATTATTTGCAGCCAAACACAATTGGACGACTTTGCGCATGAGCAGACCATTATATTATTTGTGGGCGGTTATTTGCAGGTCACGTGGTGGCTCTCGGCCAATGAAAAGGAAAAAAGTTGAATCGAATGATAATGATAATTATTAGATGATGGTTATGAGAAATAGCGTAAAAGAGATAATGCCCCACATGAGCCTTATGTTTTATAAGTTATTATTAGTAACAAAATGGCAGGAAATCAAGGTTTAAATAACTTTCCCAATGTAAGTCATCTCTTCAGTGCTATTTTATATTTTTTTCATAACATTATACACACATTTGAGTTAGAACGAAAACTTCTTCTTGGGTAATATCACTAGGAATAGACCGCCGGGTATGATAGGAACAATTATGTTTTGCATGCAGATCCAACGCAGAGTTTAGGTCCTACAGATAGCCCTTTCTCAGATAAAGGAATATCTTGATATCATACTCAGCCTCGTACATTAAAATACCATCTTTATATAATTAATTCTATCATGCAACTTTAGTAGTTTCTCATTGATCAGAATTACCTCTGTGCCACTAATCACTTTCTTAGGCCATGTCTACACTAATAGACTAATAAACTGGATAGCCTTTCGAGTCGACACGAAACGCCATCCCCGTATATACCAACAGCAAAGGCACGCAAATGGAATAGGTCGTTTACAAACATCAAACATCGTGCCTGAGGGGTTCGCCAATTTACTTCCACCTCAAAGGATTCCAGACCTTGCTCCTTCACTTCTGCTACGGTCCGAATTTCGGTTCACTTTGCACCAAAATGTGCAGAGAACCTATTCGATATGTGATGCTCACACTTTCAAGATCGTTACAGCGCAGCTTCGATCGCTTTGTTACAGGAAATAGCACCGAAATCATGGCTTTTATGTCAGATCTGAAGCCCTATCGGGTATGGTTCTCGTGCTGGGGTAAGGGCTGTCAGCTAGAGTGTAAACATAACCTAATTCGTAAGTATGAAATCTTTCAGTTACCCACCACAAGAGGCAATCAAGACGATGATTCGAAGAAGTTGTATCTTCAGACCAACAACTTCATTTTTGGACTTATTATCTATGACCGTCGAGACACGAATAGACTCTCCTGGACAGTACCCTCCTCTGTCAGTACAGAAAGTAGTGCTAAGTGAGCCAGAAACGCAGCAAAGAAATCCCACGTTACGATCTTCTTCCTTCTGACAAGGTCGCTAAGAAAATAATTATAAGAATCAAGTTGTGCATGGGAATACTTATTTTAAATACTAATTTTAAAAGAAAAATCTGATTGAGACCTCGATCTGCTATGATTAGGGTCCCTTAATTAGGTCGTAATTTTCACAGTTTTGCAATCTCGTGATGTTCATACCCTGTTGCCTCCTCTCCGCGATTTCAAAATGTACACTTTGAACCAAATACAATGATGATACCTGAAATTATAGGCTACACCTGCTGAAAGAAGTATATTTGCATATTGATTACGAACATGTAATCATGGCAATAATTAAAAATATTATTTCCTCTAAAGCAAATTTTCACGCCAAATGAAAATATTTAGGCCTTCCAAGAATTCTCTTTAGCATTCTCAAGCTCTTGTTTAAAAGGTAATAACTAGTTAAAACCATCGTATTCGGACCCACTTATGGGTGGGTAGTTCAGAACACGTCTCGACTAGGCTAGCTGAAAGCTTCAAACGGCGTTTTTGGGTAAAGTTGCGGGATTTTGTGGTGAAGTGACAAAGCCGTCCCGATGCTGCAGTCGATCTTGGGTATGAGTCTCAGTCAAGTGATACCTTGTCACTTTTGTTGGCTGTTTCACCTTTGTGTCCTCCTGTCGGAGCATTTCCCCGAGTTTCACGGGGTTCGGCCAAGAGACACGCATTTCTAGGTAGTTATATTATTGAAAACTCACCAAAAGCTGAGGAATATTGATGTCCACGTATTTTAAAATGGTAACAGCCGCTATAGTGATGATATCAAATCTCCATGGACGGTCCATAATTCCTTTCAACCAGTAGCGTACATGACCATGTTTTAACTCCACTGAAGCCGGCATAATTATATTTGGGATTAAGAACTGAAATGGAAAAGAGTATTCACCAGGCTGGAGAACTGGGTCATCGCCACTTTGGCCTAGGTCTGCAAATGAATGAAGATATATAGACATGCAGGTACAATGTAGGTAGGATGGTAGGTACGTATGTAAGTAGGTAGGGAGGCAGGTAAATAGTCAGGGTATTGAGATGGATTGAGGTTCCTTTCCAAATCAAAGACCAGCCACTTAATAACCAATTGCGAACAAATTACAAGCCTTGACTACGAGGATTCTCTACAAAGGCACTTGGTCTGGCAACATATAATATTCGCGCAACAAAATCTCTAATACAGGGAAGTAAATTAAAACATGAGTCCCATGGTGGCTCAGGACGATCTCGAACATGGGCCTGCTGAACGAAACAGTAGGTTACTAGGCTAATATCATAGGTGACGAATTACGCCTTAATTTTGGCGCGAAATTTCAGCGTTAATTTGTAATTTCACATGTGAAATTACAAAATTGCCATGGCAACCCTTCCGTACGTCTCAGTGTCAAGATGGTGACGAAGTTTTAAAATGCCGTGAATGAAGATGTCAAGGCACAAAAAGACGTTTTAGAAAACCTGAAAACACAAGAGAACATCAAGAAGGATTCTAACAGGTATTTTGCCGAAAAGTCTGAAAAATTCTGAACTTTATAAGCCAAATTTAAGGTCTAAACATTTGAGAGAGTGGAGCTCTCGATCGATACGATCCAGGATAAACATGTCAAAAATCCAATATTGCTAACGTAATTCGTCACCCATGTTATTAGTATAGGTAATGGCTCGGGAAATTATTAGGTTTTGGACAAAACGCGCGTGAAATCATTCCCTAATTTCACCCGTCACCATTTGATTACACATACAAGTAGGTAGGTGGGCGGGTTAGTGGGTAGTTTTATGTATTGGCATCCTATAGTATCGAAGGACTATGGTGTCGCACTGTGATTGGTGGTTCTCGAACAGCGCCTTGCGTGGCTGGAAGGACTAATTCGGGAATGACTGTCCCTTCCGCGCAGTGAGCAGATGTAGTTGGTTGCTGGTCTTACTTCGGGCATTCCTCGTTTGTCCCTTTTTAATTGTCTCAGCCTGTTCCGAAAGTGTCTCTTTAAACTCAGAAAGGGCTTGCTTCATTGCCTGCCTCCACGCTGAATCTGCCTCCACGCTGAACGTTCTGAAGCCGAGGTTTCCATTTCGTTGATGTCAATGCCTGAGGCTTTCGGGTGCCCCTTGCAGACGTCTTTGTAGCGTAATTGGAACCTGCCAGTGGGGCGCTTTTTCTTTAGAGGAGATCCTTTAGGATCTGGCTGTCGTCCATTCTCACATTATGGCCAAAAAGGTAGTGCAAACGTCTCTGTTTCAGTTGTGTATACAATGCAGCGTAGTGTTGCATGTTCTTGTACAGTGTGACGATGTTTGCATCTCTCATGTCCTATGGTAATTGACACCTTCTCCCAAGCAGAGACAAAGGATCTCATGCAGCTCAGAGATCGTTGATGTTTCCTTTGCAGCACTTCAGGAGTTCGGCAGGGATGGTGTCCTTTCCAGGTGCTTTGCTAGAGGAAAGAGAGTCGAGAGCCTTTTTGTTTAACTCTCCAAGGGTTGGATCACTGTCAAGCTCCTCCAACACAGGAAGGCACTTGATTGCGTTTAGGGCGTCGTCTGTTACTACATTCTCGCTGGGGTATAACTCTGAGTAGTGCTGCACCCAGCGTTTCAACTGCTTCGCCCGATCTTGGATGAGCCTGCCTGTGGCGGACTTCAGAGGGGCAGTTTTCTTCTTCGTCGGACCTAGGACCTGCTTAATACCATCTGTTTCGCTCCTGTGTGTGAAAGGGCTATAGTAGTTGAAGATTAACCACTAACAGAGTTTTACGCACTTGGAATTTATTTGCACTTGACAATACCAATTCGAATCGTGGCGTCCGAATGTGTCGTCCTAGTAGTATTACAAAAAGGGCCCACTGTACAAATCAATTTCGGTTGAAGCGATGACTGACAAATATTAACTTACAATTTGTGTTCCATACGCGGCTATGGCTAGTTAGCTTCGTATCTTGGATGCGTGATCAGAGACAAATTGAAAATGTAAGTTGCAAAACGAATATCTTGCTTTTAAATAACAGTCACTTGACCTTTTTCCCCGCGTCGCGCAAAGTCAAGGTGCCGGCGCTAAGGTAATTGAATATTCCATATTCATCAACTTGAACATTTTATCTGGTTCGGAACCACTTGTTCCCTGCTAATAAATTTTTTTGGTGCGAAGTGCCTCATCCAGCATTTCCAAAATTCGTTTACTCGATCTTGTGTACTACCTAGGAGAGAGGAGACTTTGTCTGACGGACTTGATGAGAGCTTCCACGCGCCATTCTGATGACTTGCGTGAGCTATATTCCATTACCAAATGAAATAAAAGGAAAATTTTTCAGGTATAGAACACCCTGAATCTTGGGAATGTTCCAGCTCTGCATAATTTCCTTTAAGTAACTTTGCGCACCTGTAAAATTGTTCTACGGTCCGACCAACAAACACACCGGTGGCCATGCAAGCTCGCGAAACGACGGAAAGCCATCNCCATGAATCTTGGGAATGTTCCAGCTCTGCATAATTTCCTTTAAGTAACTTTGCGCACCTGTAAAATTGTTCTACGGTCCGACCAACAAACACACCGGTGGCCATGCAAGCTCGCGAAACGACGGAAAGCCATCAACTTCCCTTGCCGCCCGATTGAATTTGATATACAAGGGCCAAACATGTCAATGGCGGTGTTGGAAAGGGGAAGAATCCCTGCTGTCACTCGTAAAAATGGGATATGCCCCATTAGCTGGTCCAGTGGTTTCTTGCGAAGGTTTCTGCACGTGATGCACTTTGCACTGAGAGCTTTAGACATGCTGCGGACTTCTGTGATCCATTAATTTCTTCTCTCTTCATGAGTTAAGCTTTTGTTACCAAAATGTCCACGCTTTCCGTGTAAATGACGTAGTAGCAACTGGAGAAGTAGATGACTGCTTGGTAGAATAGCAGGATTTCTCATTTCTTGTGGCAACCATCTAGCATCCGCTTCGAGCCGTCAATGAGCTCGAATTATTCCGTTGTTGTCCAGGCTTGAAATAAACTTCTCGTCAATGACAGAGGATTCTAAGTGAATTTGGCTCCACTTGAAGTGTTGATTCTCACAGTCTTTCCATTCTTGAAGGGTAATAGGCCTGTCTTGACGTTCTTCTCTCTAGCACTTTGGACGAAACGACAGACGTACGCGAGTGTTCTCCTTATCTTCAGAAATTTAGAGCAGGTCTTCAGTTATCTTTGAAGAATAGGGTTATCGTTGTAAAATTGTAATTGTAATTATAATTTGTTTACCCAGGGACGCTTAAGAGTTCAGGCGAACTGGTTGAAATGTGTTCGAGAGTTCCCGATCGAACTGAAATTTGGAAGTGTTGGTTTTTAGGGAGAGGGGAAAACCGGAATACCTGGAGAAAAACCTCTCGGAGCAAAGGAGAGAACCAACAACAAACTCAACCCACATTTGGCATCGACGCCAGGATTCGAACCTGGGCCACATTGTTGGGAGGCGACTGCTCTCACCACTGCGCCACTCTTGCTCTTTAGTTCGGGAACTAAAGTGGCCCCTTCATACACGGGAGCGAAACTCTATCATACATTCCCCTAATATCTGTCTCAGCTACTGACCTTATCTGAGAACAGAGCTGAAGCCAGTAGTCTTTTGCACACCGCCTGGCGATCTGCTGGACTTTGCTTCGAGCGGCTTAGAGAAGGCCCTCCTCATTTCATCAATGAATGGTTGCATCTCTTCGCAGTGGGACTCAAACAGGTCAGCAGTCTTGTTGGTCTTCCCGCCCAAAATGGACAAAGTGGCGCTGTGAACAGCATTAGATAGATAGATACTTTATTTAGCGCAGAAGTCATAAAGATAACACTTATTTACAATGAAGATGTGCATCAAAAAAATGTTTCCGTCTATCGCATGCGTTAGCATCGGGCAGGCCTTGAAAAGATTCTTCAACTGCACTTGCAAATCCCTCCACTTTAGTCTGTTCACGGAGTCTGCTGTTGTCAATGCGAGGCCTTCCCTCTTCTTTTTTGCTATCCACCTACCTTGTTCGCGGTCTTACTTTGCTGCACACTAAGGAAGAGTCCGTATCGCAATCAGCACCCTGAAAACTGCGCCTGATCTTAATGCTTGAAAGACTGGAGCATCTGCTGAGGATCAGGTCACACTGGTGCCAGTGCTAAGATCTTGATTGTCTCCAATTCAGTGTTCGGGCTTGGTATTGAATAACGTGTTACCGAAACATGGACTGTGATGACAGCATAGCTCCAGCAGGCACAGGCTCGGCTAGTACCGAAATGGGCCAAGCAAGCGAGGCTTTGATCCTCACCAACTCTGGCGTTTAGTTTGCCTAGAATGAACAGCAGCTTTTTCTCAGGGATTGCCTTGATGGCGGTGACCAGTTCGTCATAGGATTTGTCCTTTGCTTCTCCTGGGGATGACAGACGTGGAGCATAGGCACTGATTAAAGTGACCGGACCCACTGATTAATGCGGATGTAGTAACAAAATTCTTTCGCTTCCATTTGCAGGTGGGATAATGGATCCCAGCAAGGTATTTCTGTTTGTTGCATATTGCAGAGTTGTACTTTCGCGTACTCTTCCCTAGGGAAAAGCCCTGGGGACGAGTTTGTCTTCCCCAAAATTAAGGAGAAACAATAGCTGCAGAGAGAACGCGCAAGTATCGGGCAATGAAAGTTTTGGCCCCCTTAATAAGCAGTGTCGCACTTTACTCCTCTCCAGTCTCCCCTTATCATTTTAAGAAGTTCGTGGATCGGTCCCAGGAGACCGCCACGGCATCTCGGCGAATACTGGGGCCCCTTTTCGGTGACACTCAGGGTAGAACTAGACTACATCAACGCTGAAAGAGCCAAGCTTCAAAGGGGCTACAAAGATGGAATAAAGTGTTTAGTCGGATTTTTGCGAATATATGGTTGCTCCTTATCGATCCGTTTCGGTAATCATGGAAACTGAATCGTTAATTTGTACACGTCGTTGGCGTTTGCTGAGACCAACGAGCAGACTTAACTTTTCTTGAAACCGGAGGAAAGAACATTTACTATAACCTTTACCCCAAGTAAGTTTATAATAGTTTGCCGCTATTCCTCGTTGAGAAAAGAATCTCTTGAATATCTCCTGGCTCCAAAAAATCTTAAAGGAGCCTCTCCATCATGATTGTTTGAGGCTACATTTGTGCCCAGTGCAAGACATAATTGAAAAAGAGTCTTTTGACTGTTTTTTTTTTTCACAAGTCGAAGCGTGTTTCATGCAATGCGTATTGTACTATTATCAAGCAATTATTGGAAAAGGCCGAGTATGATCTGAAGAATTCTAGAGATCATCGAGGAGGGTGTTATCGACCGAGGAGGATGGATGACGCTCTCCGACATCTGCAGTCTTCAGATCATAGATGACGACGACGGCAGCGAAAACGTCACTTTAAAAATGAATTCATGTTTTTTCAACTTTTCCGCGCTTATTCCGATTCGCTTGAAATGTAAAATGCAGGCGAATTTCCCTGGAGTTGATTTCATGCGGACCGCACTTAAGTTTAGAAAGAAAAAGAAAAATTCGTCGCCGCTTGTTCACGTCCTCCATAAAACGTGAGTTAAGGCATTTTCACATCATAGCCGTGATCATAGCCTGTGTACAGACGTCCCCCCTCCCTCAGGAAAAATCGGGAGAGGAGACGTCTGTGAATCGCCGACGATAATCGTTTTCCCCTTTTTCCCGGAATGTTGGGGACAGCCTCTGATTGGTTGTAATGTTAATGCCATGACGCAAATAATTTCCGGTGTTGTGATTGGTGAATGAACGTCAGAATAGATTCCCCGGGGAAAAGCTCAGCCTTTGTGGATATTCATATTTGTTTACCGGTATTTGTATTTCGGCTCTCTCGAAAAGGCATGAGAAGTTAAGACCACCGATGTTTGCTGCACCGGTTGCGGGTGCGTCTGTCTGTACCGGTCGGTATTGTAAATAAAAGAGAAGGCATACAAAATCCAACGTTAACAGGCAAGGCAGGTCAAGCTTACCCCAAAAAGATTCTCTTAATGAATTGATTATTTGAAAAAATGAATCCGTTAGTCGTTCCCGTAACTGGTGTCAAATTTAAATCGGCATTCCTCTATGCTTAATGAGCGTGAATATTTTAAGAGAACTTCCCTGTATTTGGTCAGATTGAAAATCTTTGAATGGATTAAATGTATTAGAAGACATTTACATCAAATTCAGGGAAACTGAGCTGGTAGAAATTTCGTAACTGGAGCGCGTGTGAATTCACGGTTCATTACGCATGCAAGAATGCACACAGAGATGAATCTGAAATCTACAACTACCAACGGTTCAACTTTCGAATAATAAATACATAAAATGTCATTAATGGAATCTTGGGAGGTACGCTTGACCTGGCTTGACTGAAATCAGAGATCTTATATCTGGATTTTTGGTTGAACATTGCGTGAAGATGTTCGGCTAGCTGTACACAGACGCCAGAGCTATTTTTCGACCTAGATGTGCCTTTTCAACTTTCAGCGAAAGAACAAAAAAATAATTTATGCAAATGTATACCGGAACACGATTAACGACGGCGATTCACAGACGTCTCCTCTCCCGATTTTTCCTGAGGGAGCGGGGACGTCTGTACACAGGCTACCGTGATCATAGAAATGAACAAGAAAAGTGTAATGCACGTGTAAATTTGTAGTGTTGCTCAATAAACCTGTGGGGCGTTTTCACTCACGTGGCCAGCATCAACGCAATTTTATTGGAACAAAAGAAAGCGTTTGCATAAGAAAAGAGTTCAACTCCCACAGGATTAGTCTGGGAGACCAACATGGCCGCCGCTTCATTGTTTTGGGACACCAATGTGGCCGCCATGACGTCATGTGAAAACACTCTATTGCTTTTATGACGCTCTCGTTGTCGTTGACATCGTCGTTGCTAAAGCCCCCAAACAACACGCATCAGACGCATCAGATGCAATGCCGCTCATTTTTCTGGCGATTATTCTGTACTATTGACGCCACCTCCTGGATATCGCAGACGTCTTCCAAATTTGGCCAACGCTAGCTGGTTAAGAAGAATTAGACGTAGGATTTTAGCTAATCAGAAGCAAAGGAATATTTTGAGTGAATAATAATGTAAATTTTGGAAAGCAAGGCGCAAGCGCCCTCGAAGCCTTAAACGTCGTTGACATATTGATGACATGATAATCGCCAATAAGCTAGTAGTTCTTTTTCTGGGGAAAGCAAATTTCGGTTGCGTTCAAAAATGTCCACAGATCCGGTCTATTTTCTCATTTATCCACCCCCACCCCTTGCGCCAGCTGCCAATAAATCCAGAAATCTTTGTGCATATTACGATAAGAATAATTTCAATTTCAAGTTGACATAGAATCAACTCCCGTAGAAAACAATTTTAGTACGAAATGGTCCTGTCAACCTGATGAATTCTCGTCGGAGAAATGAACGTGACTTGATCACACCTTCACTCACCTTTACCAAACAATGTTGCCAAAGTATCTAAGTACGTTTCGCTGTTGCTATAGCTCTTATTCGCCTCACCGACGTTTTCCCTCCAGTGTACGTATGCTTCACCATGGAACTCAATCCGAAGTCCCTGTAACTTCAACTTCTTATTCACCTTGAGACAGAGGGCTGCATTTATTGCCTCCCCTGGGTAAAACGTCCTTTTTCCTGCGTAAAATTCAACAACGAAGTAATCAACTTTGCCCATGTTTTGTCATCGTCATTCAAATCATTTCGATGATTATTATGATAGCACAGCGTTTTTAACGTGCGCTTTCACACGTTACGTTTTTATTTATTATAAACAACAGTAAAACTGCGCACGTACGGTATACCTTTTTCAAGAAAGCTTTAATATTGCTGTTGTGGCTTACGTTTGCGGGATGTTCAGAGCGAGGCGTTATCAAGTATTTCTGGCAACCACGGCTTGTGATAAGAGTGCAACACAAATTTAACTGCTCAAACGTTCCAAATAAAATAGAAAAAAAGGTTCTCAAGGCATACAGTGCTCTATGCTCCAATGGTGAATAGAGTTTAGCGAAAGCTGGATTTAGTGGGTACCCACGGGTCTGGTTAATAGAGTCGGACATTTCACAGTTGGGTATCCGCCCTTGGCTCTTCTTGTTGACTGAACACCCGTATAAGTACAGTCGTTTCCCGTTTTCACGCAATTTCTTCTGACGCGCCAGTTTGTATTATTCGTGATAAATCCATGCATGGTTCTGATTGGCCGACTGAGAATCCTATCTGTTTCCGGACAAGAAATACTATTATTATATGGCTTGTTCCGCAAGTCGTCAAAATAAATCGAATCCTGTGTTGTTCTGATTGGCTAGTCGTGCGAGCAAGATGGGCCTTAATATTACCCGCTCGGGATTTCTCGCTTTGGTCACCCAGAGAAAAATAGCTCTCCAAGCCATATGTTTTAAATCCTTTAATGACCAAACTTGTTTGGAAGTTGGCTGGATATTTGCCTCGTTCTTTCTTTGCATTTTTACCTCCTCTTAAAAAAACCTGCCAATATCCAGCAATGTTGACCTTTCGCTTGTTAATAGCGCATGTTTCAAATATTTATAAATATTCTCGATTGCGGACTTCCATCTCGTCGCGTCTGATGTTGTTTTCAAAAAATATTTATAGCGCGCCCTCGGAAGCACGTTACACCACAATTTCTTTCGATATACATGATCGAATGCTTCATGGAACTAAAAAGTGCGCGTGTCCTGTATTTACGCACGAGTTACTGACGCATCAGAAAACGCGAACGAGTGCGATAATGAACCAGTGCGTAAATAACGTACAAAGCACTTTCCAAGTGGTATCATGTTTGTCATATAGAGAGATACTCAGACCAACAGCATTCTGATACAATATCTTAACTTTATTATATTCCTTCCAACATACTGAAATGCTAGTATTTATTGCCATTTGGTTAGGGCGCCTATTATATTGCTGCGCTTATCAAAAGTCAGAACTGGTCTGCCAAAATGAACAAGGCTTTTCTCAAGGGCTATGCTGTGCATAGTATTTAAAAATACAGTTATCTGGATGGACAGTTTTCATTGATAGTAAATTCTTTTCATCATGAGCTGATCTAGACTTATGATAAACGCTCATAATCGTAATATTTCGAACAACATGTACAATATTCAGTATAAATAATGGTATTATTTGATTTACAATCCACATTCAAAGTAATAAAGGAATTAAAAGTAAACTTTTGCGGAACACATTATAAATATTAGAAACATCAGTTTGAGTACAGTTGCAGTCCAGTTTGAAAATAATTATAGTAGACACTTACAGGAATCGAAAGCAAAAGGTAAGGATCTAAAAAGTATAAAACGTACGTCTTGCTGAGTTTTGCCAAGGCTCTCGTCCTTAACATTGAGATTAACGAAGCCATTCTAAGCTACTTAATTTCTATCGATCCATTGGTCGCCATTTTTACTTCGCGGAAAACATTCCTTTTTGTCACAAAAATACAGTCAACTTCTCTACAAAGTCTTATCGAGTTGAAAGGTGCAGTTACGTAAGACACCTTTAGCGTGGTAAATGGCCCTTTACCAGGGATTATTTCTAGTTAGGCCAATGACATTTCTTTTACCGTTAGAATAAATTTACAATTTTTTTCCACGGCCAACAATCATGGTGAACGCTGGCTTTTGCGGCCCATCAAATGGTCCTATAAACCTCTCTTCACATTCTTTGCTTATTCCATGAAGTGGTATGTCGCGAGAACTGTTTTTACTTTACGGTATTTCAAATGGTCTACCAGTTTTTTTAATTTTCATACAATTTCATCATTCTACACATTTTTTTTGCAGCGTGGATGCTCAAATTCGCACTATCACCAGCTAATCTACAAGCTAATGATAAACGTGCCCACTCGTGCGATAGTTACTTCCTTAATTATAAGAGGCCAATGGGGATGTGCCGCTGGATGGGGTCGCATTTTCACGACTGGGTTGACTATAATGGGGAAGCATTTTCAATAGAGTTACTAGAATGGGGTCGCAGATTTTCGAATTTTTGAGGCAAGAAAGTTCTTCATATTTTCGGTTAGCAAACGTAATAGAATGTTTGTACTGTAAGTCAAAAGTAAAGTGTTCTTCATTCAGTTCCCAAAATGGGTCAATTTATTTTATTATGACCTATTTATAGGATTGATAAGGTAGATCATAAATGGAAAGTGACTAAGTTTGGGATCGCGAAAATTATATTTGCAAAAAAATGAAAAAGATGGGTCTTTAGTTGGTCAAAGAATAGACCATAATGGGATAGGGGCTCTGAGGTGCCAGCGGCACATACCCAGTAAAAATTAATCCAAGTACCACCCCCCCCCCCACCACCCCGCCCCGGGGGCACTATCGATGGCTTTACGGTTTTTTGTCGAAATCCTAAAGAAATAACTTCTCAGTAAATGACATGGCTAATGTCTGCCACTTCGAAGCTACTTGTACTTCCCTCTTAGGGATATGAAGGAGGCGGTGCAGAGGGAAATTGGTAGTTATTAACAAACGGGTACATTGGTGTAAAGCTGGTATCACCCAGCGTCTTTTTATCTTCCTCGTCATCGATTGACGCTCAACCGCTAACACACTCTGCGAACGAAGTAGGAGCTGAAATTAAAAACAAGAAATGTGTCATAAACGAAATCTTAGGTCGAAGAGTTCTGGAGCCAGTTTTTTTCTTTCTTTTTATAAATTGACCCCTCGAAACCGGGTCCAAGCTTTTCTTTCCCTTGGGCAATTTATCGGCGTATAACCGAAAACATGAAAGTGATCAGATCCCAGAGCAAGCCCAACCCGCTTTGGCGAAAAGGTCTAGCGTAACCACTCCCTAACGGATAGCCGTAATTTTTGTGGGCGTGGGTGGGTGGGATTAATTTCGGAATACTACAGTAGTCACGATACAAAATGTTTCTTACCAATATTTGGATAATTCTGCGCAGGGTCACCATACTGTGTAGCGGCTGGTGGATACGCTGATGCTGCGTCAAATCCCGCCAGTGGTGGGGCGCTAGGTGTCAAAGCAACACCTGGGGGCGGGTATTGGGCTGGATGAAGGGGCGGCCGATATGGAACTGAGCCAATTGTGATAGGAATGTTTAATGTTGAGTTGAAGGCACCCTTCACTCTAACTTTCAGCTGTTGAAAGGTGGCAAGAGAAAATAAGCAACGAAATAGAAGTGACCTACAACTGTTGGCGTTTAACTCGATTTTATATCAACTCTGCACACTTCTCAGTACGTATGTATGAAAGACAGTGGGGAGAATATTTTTTTGTTGGCATTCCAACTCACCTTATTTGAACATTTTCAGGATTCGTTTGCTAATGAATGAAATAAACCTCGGCACTTAAAGTCGTAATTGTTCCTTGCTAGCCGAGGTTTCAAGGCAAAAGAAAAAACGAAAAGAATGAAGGAGGGAGCCCTAATCCTATCGTATTCCCCTCCTAGCAGCCAAAATTTCTTTTGAGTAACAGGTCGCCCCATGCAACGGTATCCAAGACAGTCTTGGATTCTGGATTCCACGCAGTGGATTCCGGATTCCAGGTACTGGATTCCAGTATTTGTCAGTAGAACTTGCATTCTAAAAATATTCCATCACCAGATGAATTCACACCAGATGCAAGTCCTGTCATTCAAACCAGAATAACTATGGTTGGTTTGTCTTAATGGAAAAATGTTGGCAAGGCAGCAAACGACAGTCGTCAAAACAAAAAAAACATCAGATATTTTAAAAAATTCAGCTAAATGGACAGATAATGGGTAAATTACCTGTAGAAAATATGATATCTTTATGCAACTGCAACTCGTCATGGTTGGGGGCAGAGAGGGGACTGGAAGTGGTACCACTGGCATGCGAGTCTCTTTCCCAGGCTTCATTCCTTCTTGAAACATGGATGCAACCTTATCTTCCCAGTGTTTTTGTTTTCCTAGAAATTAATCAAATTGATTATGGTGATGATGAAGGTAAAAATCATGGGAGTAACTGCAGCCACTTCTGACCTATACCCCTAAAACAGTGGCTATGTGGCTATGGGACTCATGATGTGGTTTGCAAAATAAGAGTTACAGTAGCATGAAAGTTGTCTTGCGGCTAAGTGCATGGCTATGCGGCTACGTGGCTACATAGTAGCCACGAGCCACTGTTTTAGGGGTATAGCTTCAAACTGTCTGGGTGTTCGACAGTTCAGCCAAATTGGAGTATGATTTCAACTCCATCAAATAAATGTGAACAGGCAGCCTTTCAGGAATTGTTTTCTTCTCCAACTAGGGGTGAAGCTTTCTTGTGTAGTAAGGACTCATCTGCCAAAAGTTTTCATTTTAATGGTCACACCATAGTAAATCAAAAACAGACTCAAATGTTATAACTTCCTTTCAAAACTCAGTCAATCACTCTGGTGAAAAGGTTCATATATTTCACACCTTTATAACTACAATATTGTCCAGTTCCCACAGTGAATGCCATTCAAAACAGTTCTGAAACAAGTACTAAATCAAATTAAGTTGACTATTAATTAATTTAATTTATTTCATTTGTTCTAGACTTGTTCGTAAGTGTGATGTTGGTTCTTATACCCACCACCAGAAGCAATGAAGACAGTGAGTTGAATAAGTTGTATCTCCAGCCCAATAATCTCATTTTTTGAATTATTATTAATGACTGCAGAGACACCAATAGATTCTCCTGGACAGTAACCTCCTCTTAGGGGTAAGCGAATATCATTAGAGCGTCTTGTATTATATGAATGAACAGCTTGACTTTTAGTAAAATTAAAGTTGAAATCGGTTTCTCCAATAAGACACTTGTGGATTGCAATGCAGCGATGAAAAAACCTGAGAAAATGTCTGAGAAATACAATAGGGAGAATAATTTTCTATTGGCCTATCCAACTCAGCTTTTTTGAGCATTTTCAGGATTCGCTTGCTAATGAATGAAACAAACCTCGACACTTTAAGGTGTAATTGCTCCTTGCTAGCAGAGGTTTCAAGGCAAAAGAAAAATGAAAGGATGACGGAGAGAGGACTATCTTATTTCTCTGTTTTTTTTCCCACCATGTGAGGTCTCTGCTAGCAGGAAAAATTATAGTTTGAGTAACAGGTCGCCCTATGTAAGGGTATCTAGGACAGCCTTGAATTCTGGATTCCACGCTGTGGATCCGGATTCCAGGTACTGGTTCCAGTATTTGTCAGTAGAACTTGGATTCTGGATTCCATAAGAAAAATTTTCTCGGATTCTGGAATCAGTGTTCCCTTACATGGCACATAACAGCAGTTCTTAGCTGTACTAAAAACATTCCATCACCAGATGAATTCACCCCAAATGCAAGTCCTGTCATTCAAACCAGAACACCTACGGCTGGTTTCACTTAATGGAAAATGTTGGCAAGGTAGCAAATGACAGTCATCACAAAAAATGCAGCCAAATGGACAGAAAATGGGTAAATTACCCGTAGAAAATATGATATCTTTATGCAACTGCAACTCGTCGTGGTTGGGGGCAGAGAGGGGACTGGAAGTGGTACCATTGGCATGTGAGTCTCTTCCCCAGGCTTCACTCCTTCTTGATGAATGGATGCAACCTTATCATCCCAGAGTCTTTTTTGTCCTAGAAAATAATGAAATTGATGATGGTGATGATGAAGATAAAAATCATGGGAGTAACTGCAGCCCGCTTCTAACCTATACCCCTAAAACAGTGGCTACGTGGCTATGGGACGCATGGTTTGTTTTTATTTTGTGGTTTGCAAAGTAAGAGCAACAGCAGAGGGAAAGCTGTCTTGCGGCTAAGTGGCTACATGGCTACGTGGCTATGTAGCCACGAGCCACTGTTTTAGGGGTATTGCTTCAAAGTAGCTGGGTGTTCGACAGTTCAGCCAAATCGGAGCATGATTTCAACTCCATTAAATAAACATAAATAACTAGAGGTGAAGCTTTCTTGTGTATTAAGGACTTGATCAATACGCTTATATGTAAGGTCCCTACTCTTAAGTGTTTTCACTCATTATAATCCACCCAGACCTGACAAATAGTATCATGTGAATCGAAAGTCATCTGCCAAAAGTTTCAATTTTAATGGTCACACCACAGGCACCCCAAGCTTATTATGAGAGCCCTGAACAATATTATCCTACCTAGCTAATTAATTATTCATACGACAACAGTTATAAGACGTTTTATGAAAATTATCTGATTTCTCTATAACTGAGCCAAACGTACATGAAATTTTTCCTTTTAGTATTTTGTTACGTTTATTTGTGTGTTGACTGCGTCTCAGGCCTCTTAGGATGCCAAGAACGCGAAAACAACAAGCTAATTAATTATTCATACCGCAAGAAAATTATAAGACCTTGTATGGAGAAATATTCTTTGCTCACTAAATTAGCAAAATGTACATTGAATATCGCTTTAAAGTTCTCCTTTAACGTCTAATTGTTTTTCTTGTATTCTGACTGCATTTCAGACCTCCTAGGCACTGTTTAATGTCTTTTTTTGAGGGACAGTTTTTCACCCAGATGACAATAGAAAGAAGAGAAGAGAAGGTTGGAAAACCTCTCTTGACCGGCTCCGCTCTCGGCGGCGATAAATTCCGTATTATTTGCGACATGGAGACAATTCCGCCAGAAACAGATGTCCTGATAAATAACGCACATTTTCCATCATTCACATCGCCAAAATTCCCATTTTGAAGGTCCTAAATCGCCAACGAAGTGGATGATACACGGCCGTGGGTAGGCGAGTCGAGAGCAGACCCGCAACGGACTCCAACCGTCAAGTCAACAATTTCAAACCGATGCGGGCTGGCAAGGTCAAATTGTTCAACCGTCAAAGGACAATTGGAGCATTTAGCCTACTGGGCAATGTACTGGGTAAGGTACGTTTCGCTCAATTATAGAGAAATCAGATAATTTTCATACAACGTCTTATAACTGTTGTCGTATGAATAATTAATGTTGTTCAGGGCTCTTATAGTAAGTTTGGGCTACCTGTGGTCACACCATAGTAAATCCAAAACGAGTCAAACGTTATAACCTCCTTACAAAACTCCGTCAATCACTCTGGTGTACATTTCACACCCTTATAACTTAAAAATTTTGTGCAGTTCCCACTGCAATTCAAAACAGTGTTGATGCAAATACTGAATCAAATAATTAAATTGACTATTAATTAATAATTTGTTCTGGACTTGTTCTTAAGCGCGACGTTGGTTCTTATACTCACCACCAGAAGCAATGAGGACAGTGTGTTGAATAAGCTGTATCTCCAGCCCAATAATCTCATTTTTTGAATTATTATTAATGACTGCAGAGACACCAATAGATTCTCCTGGACAGTAACCTCCTCTGTCAGTATAGACAATAGTACTGAGTGGACCAGATACACAGCACAG